ATATAAGCCAGAATGATTTCACATTTAAATATGACTTCCCTATAACTTTAAATCTCTTTTAAAAACTCATCACTTTTATGTGGCTTTTAATTCTGGGGAGCGGGAGCATTAGGCCAGTAACGTTATCATCTCCACTTTTGCTTTTATTGCTTTGTTTTACTCTGTAATGGGTTTTATTACTCTTGCTTTAACTATTTTATTGCTTATTCTATTTGTGAAGCCCTTTAGTCACTTTGCTGTGTGTGATATTGCTTTATAAATAAAAACTGATTGGTATTTTTACAGACCAGACGAAAAACCTGGTAAAGAATCAACTGGAAAAACTGACATATAGTCTGATGGGTTCTCCTAAAAGCACAAAAGCAATAAAGGAAATAACCTAAAAAAAAAAAAAAAAACTCTTAGTGAGTTTACACACATATGTGGTTTTCCTCTGACTGTGTTGAGCGTTTGTTTTAGGAAACAATGATGGCATCATTTTAAAGAATCTGTTCAGAAACAGTTTAACTTGACCACTTAGTCTCACCGTCGCTCCCAAATAAAAAAAAAAAAATGAAAAAGGCAATTCTTAAAAAAAAAAAAAAAGACAATTTTCACACATGGATAACAACATAAATATAAAACTTAGGATAAGTTCTGGAATATGATATTTAAAACACAACAACAGAATGAAATGAGCATCTCTTACTGTAAACTTTACTGTTTTTAACCTAATTATAACTTAGTTGACACATTTCAGTCTTGGCAACCAAAATAAGAAAAGTTTTTTGGTTCTTAGAGAAGTGACCTGGTTCTAAATGAACTTACGATGGGCTGTGCTGACTGTGGCGTGGGCTGATTCGCTGTGGGCTGCGACTGCTGCTGTGCCTGCTGATTGGCCGCCGGCTGTCCTGGGGTTGGCACAGGCTGCTGTGGATTGGTAGGGACCTGCTGCGGCATCATTGGCTGGCTGTTGGGTGGGGGGTGCTTCAACCCAGTGACCGAAGAGATGGGCGGCGGGTTCGAAAAGGGAGGCCCGCCTGCACCGGCCATCCCTGTAACTGGAGGGAGCCCTACTTCAATAAGTTGGGCAGAAAACCAATCACACAGTAATGCAAAGGTGCAAGTACCCACACTGAGCTGTCGCTGTGCGGATGCTACAGACTGGTACATGCAGTGGAACAGGGATACGTCACTTATGTTTTGATTACATCAAAGCAACGGAGTAATTTATCTTTAAGGGTCTATATCAGGGGTCTTCAACGTTTTCCAGGCCAAGGACCCCCAAACTGATGGCAAGATGGAACGGGGACCTCCTAATGATAAATAGTTGAAATTGTGTTCTAGCAAATTGGTCCTATAGTCGCTCTATTACAGATGGAGTAATGTAAGGAAAGTAATTTCTCCCTGGGATTATTAAAGTATTTCTGATTCCTGGTTGATGGGACATGTGTTGTGAATGAAAGGGTGCCCAGATTGAAAGAGCTCCCGTGTGTCGCTGAATGTGTGCATTGATGACTGAAAGATATCTTCTGCCTGCATTGATCTTTTTATTACAGTGTGTTGAATTCATGTTAATGTGGATTTAAAGACATTTCAATTAGTGGAAAAAATTGCGGGGGGTTGGGGGTATAAAAAAACACTAATCAATCAAAGATTTTGTGACCCCCCTGCAGTACCTCCTTGGACTCCCTAGGGGTCGCGGACCCCCTGTTGAAGACCTCTGGTCTATATAAAGCAAAATTAACTTTTTTTTACCGTTATATAGTGGTATTCCTTCATTAAAATCACGCAAAATGTATTTTCGCTTGATTCCTGCCTCTCTAATTAATCCTCATCAGTTCTGCTGTATGAGCAGCAGCTCCTCCCTGTCCTTTGAAAACGAGCGGATGGAGGAAATCTACATCAGAAGGCCCCCTCCAGGAAGCAGCTCCCTTAACCGCCCTGTGCCGCCCTGTAAACACACGCCCACTTTCTCTGATTGGGGAGGGGGATCCGATGACTCCAGCTCAGAGTTGAGACTAAATAGATCTTTTAGCAGCTAATCTGTATGGGGTAGGAGCTGTTTTATTATTTTTTGTTAGCTAATGTTGTAGTGATGAAAATCTGTCTTTGTCTCCATTCAAACCCAGTTTTAAAGCCTTGCAGGGCAGCCCACTTTCTCATTAAGCCATAAAAAAAAAAAATTAATTGGTAAAATAAAATAAAATTTTAAAAATAAATGGTCAGTTCTGCAGTTTATTTAAAATGATAATGTATAACATGGATGCATAAACACCTGCACTTTATATCAGTGTTAAATTCAGTTTAAAGTAACAGATTATAATCAAAATTGTCTCCGGACGTTTACTGGTTGTTGATTTTCTTTATTCAGCCCCCACTGATTTTTAATTGGTTACCCTTGCTCTAAAATATATGGCTATATATATATATATATATATATATATATTTATTTATTTTTTTCATTCTAAAGCTCAGGCATGAAGTTAAAAACTGGGTGTATTATTAGCCTTTCTTTATAGATAAATAGCCTTTGAGGTGTTGCTAAGAATGTTACGGCACAATTTTGCCGTCAGATTTTGATCAAACTTAATTTTTTAAGGCATTTTTTTTTTGCCTAACTAAATTTTACTCATTAACAACTTCAAACTTTTACATATGTTGTGACTGTAGTAAACATAACTGACATTTCCTAAGGGCAAAAAAGGAAGTGCATAAAAAAAAATCCCAGATATGGCAGAAAAACATGGAAGAAATGCAAAACAAATCTTGGCGAAAATTAATTATTCTCAAAAGCTTAGCGCCTCCTGTTAACTTACAGCGATTCTTCTGGTTGTTGGCTGCATCCACGGCCATCTGTGCAGCCACCTGAGCAGGAGTCATGGGGGCCGGATTCTGCAGGAAGCAGATTAAAAACCACACAAATGCGGCGTCAAACATTTTACAGAGGAAAACATAAACACCAAGTTCTGGGAGCCAGCCAATAAGCAGGTGAGTGGAATTAGCATGAAGGGAGCTGCTCGCCCGTTACCTGATAAGGGTGTGTGGGGTTAATGGGTGGGGGGGGCTGGGAGGCTCCAACGACAGACTGGCTGCCAGGCAGCGGCTGAGGAGGCAGGACTGGTTTGTGAGGTGGTCCTCCGCCTGCGGAAACTAATAAAGATATTTCCATGAGACAAAACATCAGAAAGGCTCATTTATTCCTCACTCCTACGCACTGAAAATAGAAGCAACAGTTAGGAATGACTAACTTCCTCTGTTAGGCTGCTAAAACCTCAAAGGAATAACTAAAGCGCAGCTAAATTGTGAAAAAGCAATTAAGGTGTGAAAATGAACATCTCAAAAGTAGCAATATCATGATTAAAAGAAAACCTCACAGTTCATAAAAGAAAGATGAGGTTTTATTAAATAAATCAGCCGACTGACAGCAATCATTCAGGTCTCCTTTTACCAAAAAAACCTCACTGAGCAAATAAATATAAAATGAACATATTAGTTAAGATTTTAATGAAATAGAGAAATGTAAAGAACGCCCTTTCCTTAAGCTTACACCAAGATAGAGTTCTTTTTCTGTTGGTTTCTTTTTTGGCCGAGAAATGCAAAATTGCTGTCCAATTTTATGAAGGCACAGCAGACGACGAAGTGAGCACACATGGGTTGTCCAAATGAGGTGGAAGCTTCCTAAAGTGCTAGACTAAATAATCCCAAAATAATTACCCAAGGTAGCAAGTGATAACACGCCAGGGAGAGCGGTGCAGCAGCTGCGTCCCTTAGAGTAACCACAGAAAATAAAAAGATGTAATGAAGGTCAACATGTGGCACACAGGTCTGTGTTGTAGACCTGCTGGGTAGGGATGCACGATATAATCGGCCCCCTATCGGTATCGGCCACCCCACCGATATTTAACCCGATATTTGATCAGCTTCTGAG